GAAGAGGAGTGGATATGGCTCCAAATGGTGCAAGCATTGCCAGCTGTTGTTTTTCTTCTCCTTTTGGGTTGCTCTACATGGCCTTTTGAGATCTTTGTGTTCTAGTAGCTTCTGAAAGCGATGCACTTGTTACTGTCAGCTTTCTGAAACTGATCCGGCCCCGAATTGATAGAGCATCTTTGAGATCCTCCGGAGACCTGCTTGGTGCGCGCGGAGTAGGGAGTGGAGCGACTGGTGCACACCAGGAACCAGCACTTTGGCCCACGGTCGCGCAGCTCGCGGAGCCGGGACGTTGAGCTGACCATTTTCACGAGCTTTGTGTCATTATGTCATTTGGTTTTCAAAGAAGCTGCTGCTGTTCTATTGGTCATGCAATGATATGCAATGTGGAGCAGAAACGAGAGGGGCCTTGTTTGACTTTGGATAGCTTTGTCTAGGTCGCAGCCGAGATGGCTTGAATGGCAGAGACAAAGAGGAAGCAAGGCGAAGCGCACTGAAAAAGAACATGGACTCTACCAGTGGAAAAAAAAACATGTCACTCTCAAAATCTCAAGCATCTCTGCAAAAACCTGCAAAACTCGTCAGTGCTATGCCGGAACTGAACCAGAACATGCTGGAAATCATTCGTTTGACCAGTGGATGACCGGCAAGCATTGGTGGCCCATGAGCCGTTCACAGTGTTTTTCTGCTGCAGGTCCGTTCCCAGTGATGCCGAGGCCGGTCCGCACAAGTGGAAACGCGGGGATGCAAAACCCTCATGGAACCTCTAAGGGTGTAGATCAGAAAGGGACAATAGTATGCAAGAAAAACAATCATGAATCAGTTCCAAGGTGCCTGTGGACTAGCAACATGGAAAGGTTGTGGGTGGCATGCTTGGGCACTGCTTTGATAGATATGAGTCCTTCGAGGAACAAAGAGGATCAACTCAAACTCTCACGACTGAAATGGGAACTAATGGCCCAGCAGTAGGAACCTCAGTGGACTCTTTCTTTTGCTGGGAAAGTGGATTCCAGGAGGACAATAATGCTTACTATTCCGTATCGCTCAGCAACTACATCCGCCGCGCGTAGACGGCGGTGCATCCATTGATCTGAACTCAGCTGCCTTTTGTTCTTCGAGGGCGTAAACGAACAACTTGCTAATCTGTACAAGAACTTCGTCTGCAGAGAGGTTTCGCATGGTTTCGCAGGCAGGGAACGGGGCCACACCCATTGGTAAAGCAACAGATCTTTCCAGACACCAGTTTGGGGTCCAAAAACTCAGAAACCGGCTTGCTATAGAGGCCGTTCAAGTGTGTAACCCAATGTTCGGAGCCCACAACAAATGCTCGTAACGCTGCAAAACATCCAAGCGGTGTGCATCTGTCGCATGCCTCCAGAATCAAGCGAAACTTTGCGCTATTTCGCCGGCAAAATTTTGCCGACAAAAAAAGCCTCCGTTGTGCCCAGAAACGGACTCCAAAATGGAGGCTAATTCAGTTGGACTCAATTTGATCTGGTCTTCATTCTCTTTGTTCGAAGACCTCAAGGTTGTTGAAGGGTTTGAGAGAATCTGACCTTGGTTGTTTGGAATGATCTTAACCTTGCTTGGAACGTGCTTGAAGTGACGTTGGTGAACAAATCCTTTTTCGAGCAGCAGAAATGTCGAAGAAAGTCCCGTCAGCGCCCACCCTGATGTGGGCTTGCAAACCCACAATCGCATCCTCACCTTCACAAGGCGGCTTGCTGACGATATCTTTTGTCATGACAATGTTGTGAAATCAATTTGCCCCCACCCAACCCCCACCCCACCCCATTTTAGTCACACCAGTAATTGGACAACGTTGTGACATCGAGGACAATTATGACAATGTTGTGATATCGATGACAAACCACAAGTACTGTAAATACCATGCATTTCTACATAATTGCTCGAAACCATGGAAAGTACCTTAGCAAACACGACGCTCTCCCCAGTGGCCCTGCGGACACACAGAAAGTGCTGTAAATACCACACGGAACTTGCGAAAAAGTAGTCAAAATGCCACGGCCCTCTACGCGAGGCAGGCCATCTACTGTACAGGTTTGTTTGTTTGTTTATTTGTTTGTTTCGTTCGTTCTGTTCTGCAAATAGGTTCTATGCATCACTCCCATTCACCATACAATATTGAAAGAGCAACGCACTCACCAGAGCACACCCGATGAATAAGAGTGACTTGTGGTTCGTGGGGGAATTTTGCTTCAAACCTGTTCACCAAGCATGGCAATTTCCACGGTGCCTTCATGACAAGCCTGCCTGATCAACTCTCGAACTTGCCATCACAGCCCGAATATCGTCACCCCAAGAATCTACACGGCTCGGGCAATAGACAAAAGGTCGCAATGTTTGGCGATGTTTGGAAGGGGCGACCATGGGGAACCTCTTTGCCAATCAATGCCGTGGCTGAGGAAGTGGAAGTCTGGCGACCTGCTTGGCGGCGTTCTGTTTCTGCGCGAAAGGAACGCTGCCAAGCGGCGTTCGTTCGATGAACTTCGGGTCTCAGATTTGTCGCTGCCTGGTGCGACTCGGGAAGCGATCGACACATCAATTCTGCGATATTTGCAGTCGAAGAGGCTTGACAGGTTCATGAGGGTTAACCTCTAAGCTGTATTAATTTTCGTTTGAGCAACATGTAGAAGATACTCGACACCCCACAAAAGTCCCTGTTTCTCTCCTGCGGCAGGAGCTGCCCTCAAGAAGTTTGTCCCCAGACGGACAGGGAACCCAGAGAGTGAAACATCTTTGTCGTGCTTGATTGTGTTTGCCTGATTCAAGCCCTGAAACTATACTCGTACCAGTCTGTTTGATTTCTTTGTCAGATGTTGGGTTCCTTAGTTTTTGCATGTCTTTCAAACACTTTCAAGTTTAGGGACTTGGTCCTGGGGAGCTGTCACAACGTCAGGTGCAAGATCTGCTGAGCCTGGTGCTGCGCTTTTCCGTTCTTTGAGGGCTTGCCAGCTCCTCAGAGTCGGAGCAACTTTGTCATCCAGGTGAACTTCAAAGCGCCTTTTCAAGATGTGACTGCTAAGAGTCAAATAGACAGAAATGAAATATTATGTATCTTTAATCTGAGTGTTAGAAGTTCTATTCAAGCATTGATGCATGGTGATAGATGTGTATTCATAGTTGCTCTGATACATTTATAGGTGCATGATGGTATCAGTGTTGACTGGGTCTTCCCTATTTCCATTGGCTCGTAATTGGATATCAGCGTTCCATTGGGATCAGCTCCCGGGGGTGACTGGGGGATGACTTCTTAGAAACAGCGTTGCCATGGTGATTTGGAATTGGCATTGAAATAGTAGCAAGGGGTGACTAAGGGAAGACTTTGTCAGGTTCCTGTAGATGCAGATGTTTAAGCAAAATCAAAAACATCAAGCAAACATACTGTTTCTCAACACATCTCAACCAATCGCTGGTTGCTCCAGTCCAGCACGCAGAAAGAGGCTAGAGGCTCTCCGATGCGCATTGCGTCCCGTCCGCGTCCCGTTGCAGGCAGGAACTTGTCCTGGAACACTCGCCAGGCAGCGCTCTGGAGTGGAATTCTTCAGGGGATTCTTGAAAGGCCCTAGAGTGCGTGGGGAGACAGCTGGAAATTCCATTATTCTATAATGTTCTTTCATTTTTACATCTACTCTAGGATGGCTTTGGACTGTTACAGATACTGTAGGTCTTGCCTCCACATGACCGTTCTCTGACTTGGATATCATGCTCCTGCCCTTGAACATGTGTGTTCTCGCCAGATCCAGCTGCCGACTGAGAAGTCGTACAGAGCCAAGGATGATATGTTGCAGGACGGATGTGGGTCAATAGCCTACATCCGAAGACAGAGGCTTCAGTGAATACCCTCGGTTGATTTTGTTCAATGCTTACCAGTATTCTCCAGAAGTTGACATGACCTACACTCACAACGTGACTTGCTACATGGCGTTTCTACTCACGTTTGGGACTGAGGTGTCACTGGATTCTGCGATTTCCTTTGGACTTGGAGGTTTGGGGCTCAGCCGGTGAGAACAAGTGCGGGGAAGACAATATATATATATAATTCGAGTATATATATATATATCGAGATGTACATAGTATATATAATATACTTACCTAATTGCGATGACCTCCAACCTAATAGGGATGGCCTCCAACCTGTAGGAGTCTAGGACCCTGAGATCCTGCTTGGTGAAGCATGTGAAAGAGACATAGAAGCAGAGTAGCCTTGAGACAAAGGAGGATACGGATAAAGGTCTTTGTGTGATTTGTGTGCGACATGCTGAGCATGTGCGCATGTGAGGACACTCAAGAGTGTCGACTTGAGGGAAGATGCATCCTTGATCTACCCATATCTACCCAGTCCACCCTTTTCCTCCATCTCTGCATGCTTGACATGAGTCATTGAGGCCCGAGATCGGCCTGATGGACGTGTGTAGGTCTGGGCTTCTTCGGCGGGTAGCTGTTAAGTCTTCGTCCGCATGGGTGCGACAGCTGGTTTATATATTGTTTCTACTAGCTTCTTGTTACTACTAGTAAGGCACTTGTTACTAGTAGCGATGCACTTGTTCCTAGTAGCGAACATTGTTACTAGTAGCGTCCTTGCTCCTAATACATGAGCCAGTCTTGCCGGCTGATACGCTAGTTCATGCGATGGCCAAGAGCTACAAGGAAGACGACTCTGCATCCCGCTGAGCTCCGAAGCTTTGCCTCTGAGTGTTGCGAAAAGAAATGGTGTTGTATGGAGCGGTCGGAGGTTGTTGACGCGTTGCTTCAGTCTAGGCGTGTGTGGTAAGGTCATTGAATTCTTTATGGACAATATTGCGAATCTGTTCCCTGCTTCTCAAACTTGCGCTTGACTGAATGCCCAAGGCCAATTTTGGGCAGAACGTCGCAAGAATTTCGGCTCATACCGTTCCATGGGCGCTTCTTTTGCAGCCATGACATGCGAGCATTTTTTGTTCATGTAGCACAGCAACAGCCTCACGGTTGCTCGGAGTTTGTTTACAAATCCTGTTCATGGATTCACAGTCCCACCCATGAAGTCTCGATGCCAAGACCCCGCAAGACGGCAACAAGGTTCGGCTGGGCGCCGTTCCGATCACGAGTGGGCTGCAAAGAAGAAAAACAGCAGAATGATGCAATTGGCGCTGGCGCATCCTCTTTTCAGAGCTTTGGTTTTGTTTCAAGTGACCCACCAAGTATTGTGAAAATGAAAGCCCAGACAACCACGCCAAAGCACATGTAAAGCAAACCCAGACTCAGGCCCATTCTCAAATTCTGGTCAGCCCCAATCTCAAGTTTGGCGACACCTCGCCTTTCCAAACCCAGATCCCAGCTTAGGCTTGGATGTGGGTTCTGTGAATTTGGATGTGAAATTGATTGAAATTGAGCGGTGTCATTTTTACAAATGAGGTTACACAGTTTAACAGCGTTTCTTGTTTGGTGTTTTCCAGTCTCACTTTCTGGTTGCTTTGATGTTAGTTAGAAACTTGTTTTTTACTGTTTTTTTCTCCCAGAGTTCCCTGTCTGGGGAATTCGTACTCACAAACCAAGTACTTGTGAACGCTGAACTTGAACAGGCAAACTTCTTCAAGATAGATATAGATTGTCGGAAAGGTCCTGATTGGACAGAGACTTTCCGGCAGGTCCGGCCCTCCACTGCCACCTGGTGACGTTGCACTGGCAGGGTCCTTAAATGTCAGGTTAGCCTGACACCTCCTCAGATGGCCCAGCTGGACCAACTTGGGGATTGGATGGATTGATATTTGAAGTTCGTAGAACATCCGAAGGATTCTCAGCCAAGGATTCATGGCGTGTTGTTCGCTGCAAGTCTTCTGGACCTTTTTTGGTGCCCTTGTAGCCTTAGGAGCCACCCGCCTCTGTCCTGGGCGAGAGGTGAGGGTGGAGTCGAAGCCCAAAAGCGAGCGTTCTTTTGAGCCATGCTGGTGGGAAAGCAAAGACTCACTCACACAGAGTCAGCGGTATTGCACAGGGCCTAACGATGGAAAACGTCTCCTTCTGGGGCCGATGTGGTAGTCGACCTTTGTGCGCCGCATACAGTAGTCTGGAGATACCGTATTCCGTCTACCTATATATTGTCCTTTGTCGACTGTTAATGTGGGAGACATCCGTCAGGTAGGCACTGATCTCATGATAAATCATGACTTGTTTTCAGGCGCCAATGCAAAATGCAAACGGGGCACCAGCAGAACTCATACACTCTCCCTACCAAAGATGTTCTGTGTCATACTCCATACTCCACAGATTTGGGTTTATTTTCCACGATGCGGGTTCTGCAGGTTTTCACATCTCCTGCACGTTTTCTGAAAGACGCCTATATATACGGTATAGGTTAGAGGCACCACAGGACACTGCTCAACATTTCGACCTGGCGTTGCATGGTGTTGAATGCATGTGTGGCCAGTATCAGTATCAGTGTCAGAGTATCGAGGAAGATCAAAGAGTAATGGCAACTTCTCTGTTTTTCGTCATTCCGTATTGAATATTGGATGTTGTGTCTACTGAATGGTTGTAAAGCAGTGTTGAATCGCTGCATGGATGGGACAGCCAAATGTCGTGCCTGACAGGAAGCCGAAGGCATGTGCATCCTTAGGAGCCTGGAACTTAGAAGACAGAGCTTTTGCAACCTCTGCAGGTGCCGTGGTTCAAGGTTCCTAGTTTCTAGCGCCCTGTCATTGGGCCATTGATTTTCATTGGTTTTCACTTGTCACCATTCTGGGCATGTGTAGGACCTTCGTAGGGTGCCGCAGTCTGCAGTGGCATCCAAGGAATGGCTGGAGATTGGAGAGATGCAGCATCCAGAGGGTGCGGAAACTCAGCACTTTACAAGGTTACATCATTGGTGTATTCAGTGTATTCTCAACTGAGGGCTGTTGAACATACCTACATTCATGGCTTCATTCTTCGAAGCACTTTCTTAGGTTGTATTGCTTTTTTGGTTATGCCACCACCATTCAGAATAGCAAAAGTATTTCGCTGAGCTGGTTCTTCCAGCTTGACAGATGCCACTTGACAGATGCATGCTCTTGGATATGCAGGGTAGCTAGTGTTTCTGCAAGACATTCAAAGGTGCAACAGATGTTGCAGAGGCCCTACATGAATGTAAGATACTGAGACCACAAGATCGAGAGTCATCGTTTGCACAGGCAGCACAGCGAGAATTGGCCTCCAGATGCTGAGAAGTGCAAGCTTGCCTCCGGGGTATGGCTTTGAATTTGCCTCACACTTAGCATTGCTCATGACCCTGGAATTCCAAGTATAATAGTAGAGTGGGCCAGCAAAACAAACAAACCAGCGAACAAACACACAAACAAACATCGAACAACCAATTTCCTTCAACGATGCACCGGTCTTTGTTCGATTCTGTCTCTCCCAGGATCGTTTCTTGCGTCGGGTCGTGCTACGCCACGCTGCGGGTGTTGTCATCCACGGGCAGCCAATGCTGCTCCTCGACCAAAAGGTAGAGTTACTGTATATATCTGTATATAAAACACGTATCATATTACATTATATACAATGATATAATGATATGTACATATTCACACCAGTTTATTCACGGGGCATTTGTAAATCGAGTGAAGTGTTGGATAGAATCCGAGGAATGAATGGGCGTTGCTTCCCGACTAGAAAGGCAGTGCCTGATCGTTGGTAGAAGCACCAATTGAACCTCACCTTCTGGTGTTCTGTTGTCACTAGGACGCAAAGCAGTTGCTTGAAAGATGCAGTTACAACCAAGGGTTTCCTGCGATTGTGATGATGAATTTGATGCAGAGCAGCTTGGTTGCACGAGTTTATGGCTTTGACAAAGACTTGCGCCGCATTGTCCGCATTGTGGAACTTGAGCTCTTGCTACGGTACTCACTCGATAGCATGTTCACCTCGTTCTGGCTTTGCACCGGTGATTGGATTTGTGAACTCCGTTGTGAAAGCTGTTTGCCAGGCTCCGGTATCATTATTACACTTTCCACGAGTTTGGCGCTGGCCTAAGGATTGTTATTTGTGGCATTCAATCCTCAGAAAGTTTTCAAAACGTAGTGTGATGCGGGCATTTGGGTACAACTCAATCACATAACAACTCGATAGCCTACACATGTAACAAATCCAACCTTAAAGTTTCAGTCCTTAGAACAAACTGAATGACCCAAAGTCTAAGGCCTAGTGCATCCCCCGACTCCCAATCACCATTCCGCAAGGCCGATTAGTGACAGGCCGACAGCGCGCATCTAAGAGCTTGATGTCGTCGGTTGATGAGCTCAGACTCATCCAAGCGACTGTGTCCAGCATACATGCAGATGTGTTAGTGTTTCCAAACATGGTGGGTGGTTCAGTGGTTCAGTCAAGGTAAGTGCTTCTTGCATGTATCAAGCTTGCTGCTGGATCAGAGTGACTGGAGAGCTGGGAAAAAGATTAGCCACAAAACTTACACTCAGCTTCTGACACGAAAGCAGACAGACAAACCGGGTTGCTGCATTTGTTTTCAGCGATCAAAAATCAATATTTTGTAACCATGATATCGAAAGAGAATGGATGTGGTTGTTCAGAGAGATCATTTTTCATTTTGCGGCTTCGTTCTGACCAGACTGCACTTTCCATTTTGTGGTCTTTGAGATGGCAAGATGTCCTAAATCTAGCAAAATCTGCAATACCTACAGGGGACATCAGGAGACATTTATAGACGGTCGGAGCCATGGTGCTATGGATGATTGGACTGGGATTAGGAGATGAAGGTGATATCTCCGTGAAAGGCTTGAAAGCCGTGCAACGGCCACTTGGCTGCATCTGAAGCTTAATCTTTGTTCACCAGCCCTGAAGCTGGTATATACTTCAAGAATCGCAGGAGCCCAAACAACTGGGACTGGTCATGCCCTACGAAGGGTTCTGCTCGTTCGCTGGGTTTAATCAGACTGCTACATATGTTCAGTGTCTGATGGTACCACTCTTGACCACAAAACTCCGCTGAAGCACAAAGGGGTCGAAGGGGCTTAGCGCAGCACAATTCAATGATGCTTAGCACACTGCTTGCAGGAGTGCCTTTGTCTACCTTGAAGCGTGTCTTGGCGTCTCCAATGTAGTCTGTGGGGTGGAGATTGTTCTCATTCACATGCTATCGACAGTCTCTTGAGCTTTGTGTCTGCGTTTTGTGCATCGGCCATTCAACCATTTCTAGGTACACCTCAATTTTGCCCGGCCTCGACCGGGAAACCTTGGCAGCTGCGCAACTTGTTCAAAGCAATGCAACAGCAATATCAAACAATTGGAGTCACGGACTGGCGAAGAAAGAACATTGGCATCAATAGAAGTTAAATCAATGAACCTGCAGTTGGGGTGTTTGATGTTTGACCAAGAAGGAAGATATGAACCATTTGGTGCAGGCTGCAACACTGTAGATGATCACAGCCAGTGAGACCAACGCGACCGAGGTATGGCGTCTCCGAAATCATCGAAGCCGACCGTGAGTTGGTGGAGAGTGGCTGTGAGGAGATGCTCGATCGAGCCAAGGAGCTCAGGGGGCACATCAACAGATGATTCATGAGTTGGGAGTGTGGGAAATTGATGGTAATTGGAAGTGTGTAGGCAGACAATGATTTTTGGTTCCTTCCTTTCTTCTTTTGGATTGGAACACCATGCTACGTACACCTGTATCACCCCTCGGTGGACGGAGGAGCACGAAGTAGACCAAAGCTTGCCTGCAGATTTCTACTGTTTGCTTTTTTGACATTTTGTGTTGGGTTCTCCTTCTTATCCAGGTTTGACTGCACCAGCATGTCCAAGCAAGTTGCATCGACCATTGATGCTGCATGTTGTTCAATCATAACTAACCCTGAAGAAGCTAGGTGTTCGATATAGCCGTGGGTCAACATGGTGGATAATGATGCCTAGGGCCTAGATAGATGGACCATTCCGTTCGATTTCGGTGTGTTCAGCGCTTGGACCCACAGACAGTAGTAAGAGTTCTTTTGCAGCTTACGAGGCAGCATGGGAGGGATGGTTTGGGTTTTGACATTTGTATTTTACGAACATGCTCACGTACAGCACAGAAACACTATCATGTTCAACCTCAAGTCCTCAAGTGGATGGGAACAATCAGAAGTGTTCTTATTTTACATTCTCCAGACCTCACTGAGCTCAAAACCCTGGCGACCTACAACAGTGAAGCTTAAACTATAATTCTCATTAATTATCTGACTCATTCTCCTCAGGACAATGAGGTGCAGCTTGACTGCAGATGAGCTCCACTATGCAAATAATTCTTCAGAATTTCTTGGCCACTTTGATTTGAATCGCCCAAGGTCATTCTTAGTTGTTGGAGATCCGCTCTGCGCGACGACTCACACTGACCTATGGCTACGTGCCAGGCGCGGAAGGATTTTCAAACGGTCAAGCTTCTTGGACAAACGGTCAAGCTTGCAGGCAGAAGGATATTGCCGTGCAAGTGCTGCACAATGCATCGGTCGTTGCCTTAAGCTTTGATATGTCTCACTGCGTTCAAGTTAAGTAGAGGAATCAGACAACTTGTGGACAATTTCTTTTTTGGCCGCAAGGGTTAGCTGGAGGTCATGAACGCTGTAGCATCTTGTGGGCTACAGCTGTATCGCTTTGGTGAGACAGTGTCCATTCCCTACTGGCTGGATGACTGGCGCCCAGATAGTTGGTACGACCCTTGACACTTTCAGAGGGCGGAATCTTCAGAGTGTTTTTCAACCGTGTGTTGGCCTACTGTGCAACTCGCTTTGAAGTTGTTTTCTGGATTCTTCTGGAACTATATATATATATATACATGGAATTACATGGATGTTGCGTGTTGTTGCGATGTTGACGCCTGTTGTCCAGGACAAGATCTTGAAGAATAAGAAAGCTGGCTTGCACACCTTGTGCTTGCTTGACATCAAAGTTAAGGAACAAACAGCCACTCGGAATCACTTGGATCACAGTCACTGGATGGAGCAGACTCAAAAAGCTCGGATTGACCAGAGGCGTTTGATGAGTTGGGCCCAGGTGGAAAATCTCATGCGAGGCCGCAAGATCTATGAACCGCCCAGGTTCATGACTGTGACTTGAAGCTGCACAGGAAATATTTTGCAGAAGAGATTACACCTGGGAAGATTAACATGGAACCTGAAAACAAGCCTTTGGAAGCTAACTATTTTCCTCTACAAACCAGTAACCAGTGGTTTTCAGGTTCCATCTTAATCTTCCAGAGCGTAGTATCAAAGATTTTTCTGCTTTTACTTCTTGCTAAGGGGTGTGTTTCAAAGGAGTCAATGACAATGCTGCCTGGTGGATGGTAGAGATCACCATTTCCATTGGGAAGACCGATCCTGTCTGGTGTTGAACTCACCGTGGTGCCTTGCGGAGCAAGGTGCGGCAAGCCTTGGATCAGCTCTGCAAAGTGGAAGAGGACAGGGCAGTGGAACCCTCCTCAAACATCTCAAACTGTGGAACATGGCGAGGATCTCTCCTGGTGGCCTTGTATCGTTTCCTCTCAATGTCAACCCTTACTGCCGAACGAAAGCTGATAATGAGAACATACTTCCCTGTGTCGATGACCCAGGATCGACAAGAGGGCGTGGCTCCATCTGATGCCATGTGTTTTGGCTTGGCACGCTCGGGCCGCGAAGACCAGGCACAGGAGAAAGATTGCATTTCTCACAGTTTCTCCTCACAGATGCAGCCAGAGTTCATGTGGCTAACTGATTGAGAGATGACTATGGGCCATGACTGTATGACCCAACTGCAGATTTGGTGTTATTCTTTTGGTGTGAGCCATGACATCTAGATTTAGATCGATTCAGATTTGGTATTTTCGACAAAGCAGAGCCACGTTGGCAGGTCATCCGGGCCGGCACGGTGGAGAAGATTGCCGAGGTCGACTTTGGAGGGCCTTTACATTCCCTGGATTGGGGCTGAGTCTGTTGGGCCGTTTTTGAATGTTTGCGCTTGTTCTTTTCCGTAAAGACATCACTCTTTGGGCTAATTGTGTGGTTCTCGTGAGGGTTTTGATCTATGATGTTGCTGCCTAGGTGATTTGCGCAGAGGAGCTACACGAGCTAGAGCAAGAGTTTGTCGACTTCTATCGACAAGAATGAAAAGAGCCGTGGATGAGGCTACACTCCATGCATCTTTGCAAATAGGACGCTATTGGGTGGAGGACATCGCTAGTAGGTTGAATGGCGTCCATGAGGCTACACTCCATGCATCTCCCCGCTCCCCAAAATTCAACGCTTGGCAACTTCGACTAAGTTCACATCATAGACCCAGCTTGGAAGGAACAGTCTACTAGATCACGACTGGCAAGAGTGCGATGTAGTGGAGAACCATGTCTCTGTGCACCAATGCATCAATGAATGCTGGAGATCACAAGGTGCTAGGACCAGGAGCTGCTCTTTGTTCTTGACCAAGGTTTGATCCCTCGATTTGGAGGTTGCGGTGGGGTCGATGGGGAGACCATGGGAAGCCATTTTGAAAGAGCAAGCGACTCACCGAAGTTCTGCTGTGTTCATGTTTTGCCAACTTTGATCAATGATGTTGATCCTTCTCAGGGAATGTAGTGGAATGTAGCCATGTGTCAATCAATTTTGTTGGCCTTTCAGCTTGCTTTTGCCATCATTTTTCCACGGGTGGCATCCATGGTTCATTCCGCAAGGCACCAACACACTTGCAAGCGCGAGCCCAGTGTCTTCAAGGGAGCACAGGAGCCCAAGTACAGCTTTATGGGCATCGCCCTGGGCGATTTTGAGCACAGCCGCATTCACCTACCTTCAGCTTTCTGGTTCTCAGAAGATATCCGCTGGCCCCGGTGCCAGGACATTGCTGAATGGCTACGTGCTAACGACCTGCCAAAAGCTCATTTTTCGAACTCATTGAGCTGGAAACGAAGAACTCGTATGGCTTCGCGTGGCAGCTTCTCATGGGTTTCATGTCTCCTGCGAGGAAAACAGGGCTGGGCTTTTGTGTGCCTTTGCGCCAAGCTCCGCCTTTAGGTTTGCATCTTGGGGGGAGCTGGGAAATTGACTTGTAGACGGAGTAGCTACTTTGGGGTACCACCAGATGTTCGATTGTCAGTAGCTCGGAGTGGTTTCGCTCCAAGCGTTTCGCACGTTTCGCACCGCAGGCATCAGCTCGCATCTCACCAGTTCGCCTTCTCAATCTGAAGCCGATGACGAACAGCTCTTCTCACCAGGATCTGCTGCTCGATTTCCGACCACAAAGTAGGCCCCAAAGAGATATCGCGATAAAGAGTGAATCCTCCTGAACATCTAGCAGGCATCCGTTTCTATTTGCTTGTGCACCTGCACAGTCAGCTTGCCGCGAGTTTCCTCTCCGCTTGATGTTGCACATACCACCAGCGACATCAGGATCTCGGCCATCACGGCAATCTGCAACTTCTGGCGAGGAACGCGGTTCGCATGACTAACAGAATGATTTCATGTTTCTGATTAATTACTATGCAAGTGAACAGATGCAAATCAAATGCAGGTTTCGGCCCACATGGCCACTCACAACCTTGAACATACTCCCATAATATGTTAGTAATTATTTGACGTAAAGCTCATTGTCATGGCAAGCTTTTGGTGCCACTTAGCACTTTGGGAACGTTGGGAATCCCTTTTATACATGATGCTATTGTGGTAGCTCAAGGTCTTCATATTCATAGGCTTGCAGAGAGTTTGACAAGTATGTTGGGGTACGGTTCAAACATCTATGAATCTATGTGCATTGTGCATCATTGTACACATTTTGAGAAAAGTCCTTTTCACAGAAGACATACATCTTCCTCGTCTCGCATGAGCAAGAGACGGAAGCGACTGATCATCCTTTTTTTCCGAACCAAAGAGGTTGTGTGCAATTCACCTCTGGATCAGGAGACCAGTGCCGATGAGATCTCCGGTCAGAAGGAGCACCATGAACTGCTCCAGGTGGGGAAGCAGATGTCAGGCGATCTGGGCAAACCAACTAGCAAGGAGACTCGCAATGCAGACCCTTTTGATCCCTTTGCTTCTCTTTATGGTTGGTTATTGGCAAGGGTCAGAGTCAGAGAGAAGATTATTGCACTTTGACTGATTGTTGTTTAACAATATGTTCTTTTTGTGTTGTGCAGAGGGTGATGGGGAAATCAGGAGAGAGAGACGAGCCGCCCCATTTCGAGACAATCTGTATGCACCACTGTGCACACACGTTTGGATCTGTGAAATTTACGTGACTTTAATGCCCTTTGAGCACAGCACTGTTCGTTCTGCTGTTTTTCTGCAGCCGTGAGGGAATCACATCGCTGGAAAGAAACCTTTTTTGTGTACAATGTTTCTTCAATAACTTTTTAAAGGTTATATATATATTTTCTCTCTGGTCTTTTTGGCTGCTTTCTGCCAGGAACTACATTGGCAGAGGCAAGGATGTGGCGCGGAAAGGCTGTGAGGATTTGTTGGCAATGACCATCGACTTTGTTGTTGTCTTCGGTCTGGTAGCCTTTCTTTGTATCATCCAACCGAAGCGTCTTTGTTTCGCTCCCTCCGCCAGCGTCAGGAGTCACGTCCGAAATCACACCAGGGATCCTCGTACCCCGATCCCACACCTTTGGCAACGCTCTTTTCTCTTATCTTTTAGCAGTGGGAGTATGAATCCCCCTCGTGCGGAGGGATTCACCTTCGAAGGCGCAGGACTGTGAGAGAAGTTCAGACCTCAATTCGAACTGAGAAATGGAGAGGGGGTATCTATAGGACAAAGTGGTTGGGGAATCATCGATTCGTGTGCAGAATGCAGCAGTTGAAGAGGAGAATGAATGGGACACGGTGAAATCAACAGTGATTGCAAGTTGCTGTGGCAGGACATTCCGTCGCAAGCGTTTCCCACAGCCAAGGCCTTGGCTGGCGTGTTTGTTGTTCATAGGATTTACCTCAGCTTGGTCGGGTAGAGAGAGCTTGCAATAAAGCAATATGACCCCCGACTCATATTATATAGGTGTAGCTCAGAAAGTATGTGCACAACCACTGTGATGTGCCAGGAGTTTCTGATGAGAACCATGTTACAGTTGGGACCCTGGACAAATTTGTGGTGATTTGCAACCTCAGAGCAACTTGCTGTGATTTTGCTCAGGTGGAAATCCATGACCATTACAACAGACTTGTCACTTGGATCGGGGGATGACATCCCAGGGATGCAATTTGTACAGACTTGGACATGTATATGGTCAGCGCCCCCTCCAAGGTCCACATTTATAGACTTAGAGGAGAGCCTCTTATTCATCAACTAGAGCCCCAGGTCGGATGGTTCACATGCGAAACCTGAGTGTTGTCGTCCCATTGAGCACAAAGACATGACAGACGACATAAAGACAAGCACACTGTTGGAAATCAATCATTGCTATTCATTGTTTGCTTGCTTCATAAGTTTGTGGAATGTGCGCCAAATTTCTGCTGCCTCGTTGACGAGGTTTTGGTGCCTAACAGCGGGTTGCTTTTTTTTAAAAAGCCTTTTCTCTTCGGCCAAGGCAAGATGTTGGCTGGGTTCCTTGGCCTCAAACGAAAGCTCTCGCGCCTGCTTGGAGTGTTGCAGATTCCGCTCACGAGGTGCTTCCATCAAGACACCTACGTGTTTGGGCAAAGATCCCAGCACAAGGAGTAAACATTATTGGAGCAGACAGCGACAGGTTGCTTGAAATAAAGAAGGGGTTCATTCTAACTTGCACTTTGAATATGTTTTAAGAAAGAAGGTCTTGTACAACCACTCCATCCTGCTATGCTCTGCCGAAAGGACGTTGGCTAAAGTTTGCCTTCGAGTCGCAGGTGATTGGTGGAGGCCACAGATCAAACTCACTGGACATCAAATCAGAGACCAGATGACTAAGGCTCCTATAGGGCTCCTTGTGCATTTCCTCTCGTTGTTGCAAATCCAGAGAGAAGTGCTAGAGACGCTATGTTGGGTCATGCCATGGCATGCATGGCATGCCTGTCAGGAGTCTCAGCCACATTGCAGAGACAGGAGAGGCCACGCGGACACAACCTGTTGGGTCGACACGACACCCTTAGGCTTAGCTCAATTCACGGTGAAGAGTCAGAGAAGGTGAACAGTGAACTTAACTGCGTTATATGAATGTTTCTTACCTAACTTGTTACTTTAAAAGCCTGGTGAGATCATTTTGAATGGCCAACAATCCGATTTTGCAAGTGTCATGCATGCAGACTGCTTCAGCATGAGAGATGACCAACCATGACCATCCATCAGCCTCGGCCCTTGCAGGCAATGGATATTGGCTTCGAAGGAAGAGACTTCGAGGTTTGGAGAACATCCGAGTTGAATGTTTGGTTTTGAGGTTTGGAGAAGAGTTCAATTCCTTTTCATGCAGACATGATCAAACATCTATCTATATATATATATATATGATTATAGACAGGACCAGATCATTCCCGCAGGCTGTGGATGTGTTCCATGCATGACAGTGTGTCCACCACAGTCGTCAACTCTGAACACTGCTCAACTCTGAGCTGCTTGGGATCCGGATTAGTAACAAGAGCATTGTTTCTAGTAACAAAGGGCATTATTACTGGGAGCAAGGACGCTACTAGTAGCTCCTGGCCTTACTTCTAGTAATAACAAGAGGATACGAGTAGCGATGCCCCGGCTTTGAACCGAGCAGCTTTTCAGGTCAGAACCTTTCCCAAAGGATGTGACCGAGCCATTCGCTCAGAATTCAGCAGAGTGATATTCGCAATGGAGTGCAGGTTATACAATTTCTACAATAGTGGTGGCATTTAGTTGCAGCAGGAGTAGGAGGAGGAGTAGCTGAGTTTCAAGTATGATTGGATACGGAGGACCATGATAGTGATGCCAAGTCTTTCTGATGCAGGAAGGACATACATGCTAGATGATTAGTGGTGGAGTGTTTGAACATGATTGAAAAGCACATCCTACTTGTACATGGAGGTTCCCTTTTCCCATTTCCTTCATTGCTCTCTAATGCAACAGATAAGGAATGTCACCAGACACATCACATATATATCATCAGATACTCTATATGTTATATGTTGGCAAAGTCCTCTGTGGCTTCCTTCCAGGATCATGGCAACCGATGGTGGTAGAAGACTGCGTGCTTCTGAGGTGTTGGTTTGAGATGAACCTTACAGATGCCTCCAGCGAGCTTCGACTTGGGCATGGTTTGCAGGGAGTCTCGGGCTAGCGAACTAGTTGCGACGTTGCTTTCTCCATTGAAGACCTGAATGAGCTTGAAGACGGTTTGTTCTCCTTGACTTGCAATCGTGGCTCAATCCACGGTGGCTTTATTTCATTTTATTTTGCCATTGGCGGGGTTCAATCCCCACTTACAATTTGTTTGTGAGATGTGGGGCACATAGTCCTGGAATGTCCTGGAGTCTATTCCTGCTCAAGCATCCAGAGCATTTTAGGAGGAAGATGCAGGAGCCGCCACTCTTTGAGCCATGGAACACATCGCCATTTGGAAACGACACTGGGCGGTGCGCCGAGCTGTTAAAGCTTGCAAACAGACAGAACCTTGCGGAAGTTCGGGGACTCTCTCGTACAATGTCATGGTAAATATAGTGGACATCTTATAGGTGTTTGTTGGCTCGGTCAGATGGTCAGGACTAGCGCTTTTCCAAACCCTCTCCCCTTGTAGCCTGCAGTTTTCACATTAGCAACTTTACCACTGCACGCAGTGTTTTGAGCCAACCCTAGACTTGGCTTTTACATGCCAAAGAACGTGCCCAGTATTCAGCATTGTTTGATGGTTTGCATTGTTCGTCATCGACTTCACACCGTCCTTTTCGAGCGAGCAAAATGGGCAGTTGATCCACAGAAACTATTTGGATACGAAGAAGCACAAAAGGTGGCCGTGGGTGGGAAATTATGCTGCAGCTTAAGGCTTAAGGCTATCATGATGTCTAACAAAGCGTAATATGTTAGGATGTACTGCAGGCACCATTGCAAAATGCATCAAAATGCCCACGAATGCTCCATCCTATTGGGGGACGCATCCGAAAGTGCATCCTAAGTTCGGTGGCGTGGATGTTTTCAGACTTATTCTTCCGGGATTTGCTTGGAACTCGTTTCAAATCTACCTATACTCGACATTCCTCGACCACTTCTTATGCGAAATCAAAGAAATTGGTCAGGAAGCTGCTGACAGGTGGCAATCTTGGCCAGCCTCTTGGTCAAGGAGGGAAACCTGGTCGCCGGGAACACCGTTAGTTCGGGCGGTGCCGATTTATCATGTAGCAGGGAGCTGTAGAGGTGACAGGATCCGAGGGAATTGAACTACGTAAGTCTCTTACACGGTTACAAACTCGAGCACTTGCGACTCTTGCGACATCTTGCGACCTATTTTCACAAGGGCGAATTGATAGTTCTGCAGCCACACACCCAGACAGACCCTACACAGTGCTCTATATAAAGGGATTAGAAATGATAAGAACCAGGAACCCCGCAGCGAACCCCTACTACTGTAGTGGCTTGATCAATTTAGAACCTTTAGTACATGTAAACAAAACACATCAAAACACACCTTTTCCCCAGCCAAATGTCCCTGACTTCGATTTGTGCATCGGATGGTTGACTGTGTTGGGAGTGCAACACACTTGTTTCACCGTTCCAGTAGAACGAAGAGCACTGTTTGTGCCGTTGATAGTGAGTAATCCTCAGCTTTTGACGTAGCCTGTGTGCAAGCTTCATGTGGCATTCACGCTCAAGAATTGGATTAGTCCAGCACGAAGAAATTGTAACAACTCTAATACCAAGCTTTCCATCTGCTAGTTCAACCATTCCCGGCACAAAAAGAGGTCCAAACCAAGCACCTAGGCCCGAATATTTAGCGGTCTTCATCCACATAGCTTCGACCATTGGCACGGAGAGGTTTTGCACTGGTCTCTGAGGTTTGGCATTTTGAGGACACGGCCAGTTCCACAAAGTCTGCAGCGTTCTATGGCTCTTTTTGTCCCAAAGCAGGTGGGTTTCAGAAGGGGAGGTGAAGATTCTCTGGGAAACATAGCGGGAGATCAGGGGTGAAGTCTGTCCAGTGGAAGCGGCAGCCAATTCTGTTTCGACTTCGCTGTTTGTTTGCAGCATCAAGTGGTAGTTGGTGGAGGCACATACTGTATACTTGCCATCATAATCTCATTGTTCATCTCTTTTGGTGGCTTGGACACGGTGACTTTGCCTTCCGCTAAACCATCATGAAAGGTGCTCCATGTCCTCCAAAGAGGGCAGTGTCTACCCTCGTGACTGACAGTTGATCAAGCTTCAGGGAATAGGTGAAGGCCTAGAGTCTATTGGGCCATGTTTCTGCGGCATGAATGGGAATGAACATCCACCAGTCATGCTGGGTTTTGAGACGCCACCATGTATGTGTACAGTAATTGTATGCCCGGGTTCCCTCAAAGCATGTATCTTTGTCTTGTGCTGCAATTGAGACAAGCCGCATATACTGCAAGACCGGAACAGCAGGGTTTCTTGATTGCGAATCAGAAATAGCTTCAATAGTCAGTGGAGTTTCTGCTGTCTTGACTGTAGGTTGGATTACCCTTTCTGATACTTGCTTCCTGATGCAATTGCCAGCTAAACCGACTAAACAAATTTTCGCAAGTGGATCGACTTAGTAATTCACAGCACGAAAAGCAATTCAGCTGCACAACTCCAATGGGTGATGGAGAAGAGTCTGGAAAGCCTCTCGGTGAGTGACCTGAAAAAGCGCTTGTTCTGGGTGGGTGCTTCCCTGCCAGATGGTCACATTGAGAAAGCAGACTTGGTGGCCGCCGTAAGAGCTGCAGAAGCAGAGCAAGAAGAAAAGTTTGCAAAGAAGTCTTGTGTCGGAAACGGGGCAAACGGTGCAGGCAGTACAGAACAAGGCGTTTTGAGGCCTGAACCACGCCCTTTAGATTTTGAGGCTGCAACAGGTACTGTGGAAGAGCAGCAGATTGTTGAGCTGCATTTGTTGAGTGAGGCCCAGCTGAAAGAGAAGATTGAACAGAATGGACATGATGTGCCTTCCAATTCGAGCAAGCATTACTTGGTTGCTTTGTGCCGAAAAGCTTTGAAAGACCCTCGGGAACCTAAGCCCAAGAAGGCTGAAGAGGAGGCCAAAGAACCAGAGAATGCCATTGCAGAGTATCGCCGACCGACAGTGGGTGACAGGGTACAGGTTCGGGACACAATGATAATGAAAAGATATTTGCCCGAGGCCATTGGAAAGGTCTTCCGGATTTTCAAGGATGATGGCGGAGCTTTTCCGTATCGACTGGCTGGCGTGGGAGAACAGCGGCATTGGTTCAGCGAAGATGACATTTGCTGGCCAACCAAGGTTCAAACCAAAGTATTCAATCACCAAAAAGGTGGCAAAGCGAATCCAGATCAGCCAGAAAAGGTCATGATTAATCACAATCGCTATGGCTGTACTCAAGGTGAAGTTCGAGATGTGTTGGGCGAAACGGCCGACAAAAAGAGTTGGGTTCTGTCGGGTGGGCGCCAGGTTCCAAAGTCCCACGAACACAGTGGATGGTCCAGAATCCAGGCAGAGAAGCCGGATGGACCACCACCTCCACCTCCAACGGCACCGCAGGCAGCTGTGACCCTGAGTGAGGCGGAGATTTTTGCTCAGATGGAGGAGATGCAAGCACAAATGGAGGCTCAAGACGCGGCACAAACAACGCAAGGCGTTCAAAGCGTGCAAAGCGTGCAACATGCTGGTGAACCGACAGTTGAAAGTGCTCAAAGTAGCACTGTTGGGACTGCCGCAGCAGGTGCTGAGAAGGAAGTTGAGAAACCTCAAGTCCAGCCTGCAGAGCCGCAGGTGTCGCCGCCCAAAGAGCTCCAGGACAGTGCAACAGATGCAACGGCTGTCGCGCGGGGTCAAGAGGCGCGACGAAAGCGGAAGGAGGCCGCGGAGAGGAAGGAGAAGGAGGCGAAGGAGGCGGAGGAGCGACTTGAGGCCCGACGAAAGGCTCGCAAGGCCAAGGCCAAGGCGAATGCTGCACGAGCCTTGGATGTGAGTGATGATGAGGTACAAGCTGTAGATGCTGCGATCAGCATCGATTAAGTCTTTGCCTAGGTGTTAGATGATGGTCTTGGCGTATAGTGTGCAGAAATCGAAAGAACGAGGCAAAGCTGGTGATCATAGAGAAAAGGAACCGGTGCTTGCTTAGCGTTTTGTTCTGTTTGAGAGGCCATGTTTGTAGATTAGACTTTGAAGATCTTTTAAGGGTCCCTTTGGCAATCACACCCTCACAGCACTAATGAACACTTTAGCTGCCCTCCCACATTGTAGGATTGTAGGATATGAGCATCCGACAGATTTTGTATTGTCACAGGGTGGCCAGGACACCAGCATATACCAGTACAACATCTGACCGATGCCCTTTACCAAGTCCACAAAACCTGCATAACTGCATAACCAACATAACCGACGGGAGCAGATCTAAGCTAGACAACAGACTTTGTCCGGCACTCATATCTCATATCTCGACCCTCAGACACCACCAAGGTTATTTGGGTTGACAGGGCTCGTCACTGATTCAGTTGTCTTTGAGAAGTTGTTGGCAATAGGGGTCAATGATGTTGAGGCAATGCTTACCTTACCACCAACGATTGCAACCAAAACGCGGACTGCAATGCTGCCCATTGTCGCAGGTGGAGTCGGATTCCGAGTACGATCAAGGAACAAGTTGGAGAAGCAGCAAGACACATTCTGTGGGTACTGTACTTTGAAAGCTGTCGACTCAGCTTCAGCACAGGATCCCCGTTGGCCTTTGTTATAAAACAGGAAGAACAAGCTTGCCTTCGGCGGATGCAGGGCAGGCCGGTCCTGTCCTTGTAAGTTTGGGCACTGGTAGTGTCTCAATCGGAACCATAGACATCGTGCGAATGGATTGGGCTGCCTTATATAACTGAACTATAACTGAACTTGTTGAAGACCAACGTCCACGTTCCAAGAGGTGCTGGAGAGTACCGATTTCTTGAGCTGGGAGCACAGTGCACAATGGCAGAACCAGCAACACGCTTTGCGGGTGCTGCACTTGCGACAAAGCCTTGCATATTGATGGCGACTTAGATGGGCTTATTTCAGACTCTGACACGGTGGAATGATGGAATGCAAGCTCATCCAAGTCCAAGGAGTGGCCTACCGAGCCGATTAGATGGTCCAGACACTTTTACTGCTTTGATGTGGCTGTATTTCTCAGAGCTTCGGTGTAAAAATGACTGGGAAAGCTGCTGGCTCAGCTGCCAGCACGGCTGGACGAGCTGCCATTTGACCCAGATCCTCTACAAGTTGTCCAGCCAACAGACTGGAGTAGCGATTGTTGCAGCAAAAAACACAGCACAACACATATCAATACAATTATATAATCATATTTATATATTGTTTTGTATAGAATTAGATTACCAGGGCCCACTCAGCTCTTACAAGGCGAAGAGGTTGGGTCATGCATTCGGAATGAACTGAGGAACACAGCTGGTGCACACCTCAGATATTGGACTAGGGGTTAGGCGTGAGGCATTCTTGGTCTTGAGAAATGTTAGACGAGCTTTCAAGCGAGGAGATTGTTTTCTAGCCTCAAATCTTGCTTCAAGAAACAGGAGACATGCCAAGAGAGGCTGAAGCGCGTATTTTTTGAAGCATCATCTTTCAGCCAAGGTCCTACAGTGGCCCGTGTGGCCGCAAGGGTAATGGGAGAAATCAGAGCAGCTTGATTGAGGTTGAAGACTTCATTCAAACTCCACACTGTATAGCCTGGACATTCAGCAGTATACCATTAATTCTTAAAGTTCCTTAGGCTCGTGAGTGAACAGAATCAAGCCCTTCACAGATGTGACGCAGCCTACTCTGGCCACATTTGTAGGCGCAGGTGGTGCCCCCATGAGTGGCAGTTATGGAACGAGTTGTTTTTCAGCTTGTGGCTTGTTCTTTGGCTACTTTTGGGGTTCCAAATCCCAAGAAACCAGGGTCTGAGACAAAATGGACAAATTGCCACCAAGAATGTGTCAATCGTTTTCCAACACCTGCCAAATACCTGGAAGACATCATTGGATATTACAGAAACATGTTCGCCTGCCTGAACGTACACCCAAACGCTCACCGAGGTCTGTCTGCAGGCGGATCAGACTTTGAATGTGGAGTTTGGGCCTTGTGAACCATGGTGAACCTAAAGCAAAACCTCAATGGAAGGACGATTTAGGACAGTGTCCTGCAAAGTCCATCGGATGGTCAGCTTCGTTCTTTTGCTTTTGTCAACAGATTTTTGTCCCAAACAGTGTGGACACACTTAGGGGTTCTTACGGTAGGTGTTAAGCAGCTGTGCTTAGATCGCTGGGGCGTGCGGCCGTGACCGGCTAATTCGCTGCTATTTACAGTACATTCATGCCTCTCGAAATCCTCGAAGTGCATTTCGACTGCGCAGGCTCGCGAAATCTGGGGGCCCGCGGCGGGTGCTTGTCGCGACTGCGCTCTCCTTGTGGTGCCGCGCGCATTTTCGTACATGGCGGATCATGGCGGTCACTTTTCGTGGCTGGCGCAAGGGAAACCTCGTTTTGGTGGTTCAAAGTCGACTTTTCCTGACAGGTGCAAGCTCTGATTTCGTGACAGGTGCAGTGAATCGTAACTTTTGGACATGTGGTTCGTTTGTAGATTTCGTGGCAGGCCCAGTACTTCGTGGACCTTGATGTGCAGACTTCGTGGCAGCCACAGCAATTGGTGAACCTCGAAGTGCAGACTTCGTGGCAGGCACAGCACTTTGTGAACCTCGAAGTGCCGATTTCGTGGCAGGCACAGCACTTTGTGAACCTCGAAGTGCACATTTCGTGGCAGGCACAGCACCTTGTCAAGCTCGAAGTGCATTTTTCGTAGCAGGGACAGCACTTTTTGAACCTCGAAGTGCAGATTTCGTTGCAGGCGCAGCACTTTGTGAAGCTCGAGGTGCAGATTTCGTGGCAGGCGCAGCGCTTTGTGAAGCTCGAAGTGCAGTTTTCGTGGCGGGCACAGCGTTTTGTGAACCTCGAAGTGCAGATTTCGTGGCAGGCGCAGCGCTTTGTGAACCTCGAAGTGCAGATTTCGTGGCAGGCGCAGTACTCTGTGAACCTCGAAGCGCAGATTTCGTGGCAGGCGCAGCACTCTGTCTCTGATGCTCACTCTCTCACTCTCACCTCACTCTCACTCACACGCTCACCCTCACTTCTCACCCACACTCTCACACTCTCTCATTCTCACTCTCACTCTCACTCTCACTCTCACTCCCACTCTCACTCACAGTCGCACTCACACTCACACTCTCACACTCTCACACTCACTCTCACTCTCACTTTCTCACTCTCACTCTCTCTCTCTCTCTCACTCTCTCTCACTCTCTCACTCTTTCACTC